AAAAACAAATAAATAAAATAAAGAAACAAAGAACAGAAGGAGAGGCAAGTGGGAGAAATAGGCCCGCTGTCTTTCCTAAATCCAAGGCAGAATGACTTGGGCCTCATTCCTACAGGAGGGATGTGTGAAAATGGTTTACCTCCAGTGTGAGAGCCAGACACACACACTGTGGAGAGAGCCTTGGTTTGCTCCTTTGCTCCAGCCCTTCCTAGCCTTCAGGTATCATTTAAATAGGGCTCTGTTGGAAAAAGAAAATGGGAGGAATCAACCTCCCTAACTTCAAACTCTACTACAAGGCAGTAATAATTAAAACAGCATGGTACTGGAACAAAGGCAGAGCTGAAGACCAATGGAACAGGGTTGAATATACTGACATCTCCCCCCAAGCATACGAGCATCTAATCTTCAATAACGGGGCAAGAAAAGTGAAGTGGAGCAGGGAAAGCCTCTTTAACAAATTATTCTGGCAAAACTGAATGGCTACATGCAAAAAATTGGGCTCAGATCTCTGCCTAACTCCATGTACAAAAGTAAGATCTAAGTGGATTAAAGACCTCAACATCAGAACGGAATCTATAAGGTACATTGAGGAAAAAGTTGGCAAAACCCTCCATGACATAGAAGCTAATGGTGTCTTCAAAGATTTCACACCGCTGGCCAAGCAAGTGAAAACAGAGATAGACAAATGGGACTATCTTAAACTAAGAAGCTTCTGCACCTCCAAAGAAACAGTGACCAAAATACAAAGACAGTCCACAGAATGGGAAAGGATATTCCCCAAATACACATCTGACAAGGGGTGAATGTCAAGGATATACAAAGTACTGGTGGAACTCCACAAAAAGAAAACATCCAACCCCAACAAAAAATGGGGAGATGAAACTTTCACAAAGAAGAAATCCGAATGGCTAAAAGGCACATGAGAAAATGCTCCACACCATTAATCATTAGGGAGATGCAGATCAAAACCACAATGAGATATCACTTCACACGACAGAGACTGGCCCATATCCACAAGAACAAAAGCAACCAGTGCTGGTGCGGATGTGGTGAGAATGGGACACTCCTTCACTGTTGGTGGGAATGCAGACTGGTCCAACCCTTTTGGAAAACAGTATGGATGATTCTCAAAAAATTAGAAATTGAGCTCCCATTTGATCCAGCAATACCACTCCTGGGACTATATCCCAGAGAGGCAAAAAAGTATAGTCGGCTGGAAAGAAAGATGGCGGCCGCACGGGAGCCTTGTGGACAGCAGGTTTGAGCCGGGGGTCAGGGGCGGCAGGGACCTCATGGGAAGGGGGGCATTCCAGTCCGTCCTTCATGCCCTACTGAGGTCACCAGTTGCCACCCAGGAGCGGCTCTCCGGCACGGCCAGGACTCCAGAGCACAGAAACCAATCTCTTAACTATCTAACTTTTAATAGAAATACTTCCAGGGTTAATAAGTAAAATAGCAGAAATCCAAAACCGCACGGCCACGACATCATTTAATTCTTGAACCCAGCTGTAGAAAGCAAATCATTTCACAACGCTTTTTCAGCATGTCTGATTTGGGGGGGGGGTCGTAAACTCTAAATAATAATGGTGCATCTTTTATCGAAACAATGAATCTAGTCAAAGTAGATAAAGTGTTAACTAGAACTCATCTGCCTCACAGGAATTGGGAGGGGTGGGAGGTGGGGTTCTATTGGGGTTCGGGGTAAAAAATAAGTATTGGTAAACGGAAATGTGTTGGATATCTACATGACTGAGACCTAAACCTGAAAGCTCTGTAACTTTTCCCACAGTGATTCAATAAATAAATAAATTATTAAAAAAAAGGATAGTCGAAGTGACATCTGCAATTGTCTGTTTATTGCAGCACTCTTTACAATAGCCAGAATCTGTAAAGAACCTGAGTGTCCGAGAACAGATGACTTGTTAAAGAAGCTTTGGTACATTTACACAATGGAGTACTATGTAGCTGTTAGAAAAGACGAAGTCATGAAATTTACATACAAGTGGTACTATATGGATCATGTTAAGCGAAATGACTCAGAAAGAAAGGGATAGACATAGAAAGATTGCATTCATCTGGAGAACATAAAGTAACAAAATAGGAGACTAACACCCAAGAATGGCCGAGATTAGTACCAGGAATTTTACTCCATGGCTTGGAGGCCAACCACACATACTAGGGGAAAAGGGAGCTCAGATAGAGAAGGGAACACCAAATAAAGGTGTTGGGAGGATCCTCCCAGGATGGGAGAAGCATGCGGAAAGTAGACTATAGACTAAACATGATTGTCACCCATTGCCTCTTTTGCAAGCCACAACACCCAATAAGAGAGAGAGAACAAAAGGGAATGCCCTGCCACAGAGGCAGGGTAGGATGAGGGGGATGGGGGGTGGGAGGGATACTGAGATCTGTGGTGGTGGGAAATGGGCACCAGTGGAGGGATGGGTATTTGATCATTGTATAATTGAAACCCAAGCACAAAAATGTGTAAGTCTGCAACTGTACCTCATGATGTCTCACTATTAAAAATTTTTAATAAAAAAATAAATAAAGATGAAAAAAAGTAAAATACATATACTTAAACAAAAGAAAAATAAATAAATAAATAAATAGGGCTCTGAATATTGGTGTCAGAGGGGGGATTGGTTCATTGTCACCCCCCCATGCATAAATCTCTTTTCAGCCTTTGGGTCCACTTGCTTCTTTCTCTCTACATTTTTCTTTTAGATACACACACACACACACACACAAAAATCTTGTTTTTCTTTTTTTCTTTATTAACTATGGAACATTTGATGTTCATTTTATGACTAATGTTGCTTAAAAGACTTTTTTCCAAAAACGTATTTGTTGCCATGATCTTTTAAACATTCCTATCTGAGCAATTATTTGTAATAATATGACTATATACCATTTATAGCGCTTAGCAAAATCCAAGTGCTTTTATAGGCATAATCTGGATTCTATACATAATCTCGTATATACAGTATATAAGGCAATAAAAGACTTAAAAGGCTCATATATATAGTACACTGAAAATCTGAGGCCAAATTCTGGGCTTTGAAGTGAGTTCTAATACTGAGTAGAAGGGTAGCGCAGATGTCATTTTGAGAGGTTATAATTCAGGGAGGGGCTGGAGCGACAGCACAGCGATAGGGCATTTGCCTTGCGCGCAGCTGGCCTGGCCGAGCCGGGTTCGATTCCTCTGCCCCTCTCCGAGAGCCCAGCAAGCTACCGAGAGTATCTCGCCCACATGGCAAAGCCTGGCAAGCTACCCATGACATATTCAATATGCCAAACACAGTAACAACAAGTCTCACGATGGAGATGTTACTGGGCCCGCTCGAGCAAATTGATGAACAACGGAAGGACTGTGACCTCTGTGATAATTCGGGAATCAATTTGTAAGGTATTTGTTCAAATTTCTAAATATTCTTTATGACTTTCATGTTTTATAGTTATACATTTTGTTAAAAATTTTAGATAACTTTAAGAAAGCGGTAAATAAATTTTTGTACTCCGCCCATCATGCTTTTCAATGAGACTTAAATTTGTGACTTATATATAATGTCAAAATTAAGTTCTGCATTTCATTTCCCAAAACCTGCCTTAAATTTGAGGGAAAGAATGAGCCTATAAAGACACAAAAGAATCACTTTAGAAGCCTTGATTTTGTGCACTTTCAATTCAACCTGTTTCTTTTCTTCTAGCTAAAAGACCTCACAAACTCAGTGTGTTTTACTACCACTGGATTGGTTCATAGGCACAAACTCATCCTTTTTACCAATTGGTTGTCCAATTGGTTTCCAAAGATCCAGCTCCATCAGCATTTATAGTCTTATATAACATCCATCCTGACACGTGTGGCTTTCTTAGAACTTTATCGATTAACTGAAATACACAGACTTCAGCTTTTTGAGTTGCTTAATGGATCCAAACTCTACATGCAACAAATGAACAAGAGGGGAAAAAAGTTCATTAGGACTCAAATGGCAATTTATAATAAGCCAAAACGCCATCTGCAAATTACGGATACTCACTACAACCCGGTGCAAGAATGGGAATCAACTTTGGCCAAGTTTCCAGAGGAACACAGTCAGAATTCAACAGCTACTGTGGAGTTAATTGAATGGATTTATTATTCTCGTGGGACCATAAGTGCTTTTTGAATTTGATGGCAACAGAATCAATGTGTACCATATACCACTATCATCTTTATACGTAACAGGCCAATAAATATTTGTGGCATGAATGAATGAGTATTGAGAGGAATCGAGGGGTTGGAACTGGGTCAGAAGACCCCAAATCCTGCTCAGATGCACCCCAACCTTCTTGTCCTGCTGTTTGGAGATCTTGAACCTTCCAATCAGGTCACAGACTCTCTCATTAATAACTCAAACCACCAGCCCTGCTGGAGTAGCGCTGAAACAAATGAGAAACGGAGAGCCAGAAAACTCTAGAGTCTAGCTCTCGTTTCTTAACCTGATTTTTCTCAGCTCACAGCATCTCTGCTCATTAAAAAGAAAACAAATCGAATTGCCTGTCATTTTTAAAAACACGCTTGCCTGCGAGCTCATTTCGGATGCAAACAACTTGAAAAGCCAACTCACAGGAGGGTTGTGTCGTGGAAAGGGCCTGCTTACCAAAGGAGGTCACATAAAAATTAAAAAAAAAAAACACTAAAGAATAAATAGTCCATGGAGTCCAGGGGGGGATTGAGGGATACAACCAGAGTAAAAATTAAAACCAAATTACATCCAGTCATCAGCTTTGCACAAAGCACCCCGCTCATTTGCATACAAGGCGATTATCCTGAGCAATGCTGAACTCAGCAATCCCAGTTAGCGCATCTCCCAGGCCTTGGGCTTCTTCCATGTGCGATGACAGCGTCTCCTTCTGGCGACGGACACAAAACAGAAAAGAACAACCCAGATCTGTTTACCGTAAGGTCTCAGGCAGCCCCCCTCAGTTGAGTGGGAAACCAGGTTAATTCTGGCCGATGTTTCACTTCTCAAACAAACCATATAATCTTGTTGTTTTGAAAACCATCTTGGTTTGGTGCTAGATAAAGAATTCTTCTTTCCCTGGTCCCTGGACTGGAAGCTGAACGGGACACTTGGAGGTAAGGCCCGTTGCACCAAGGTCCCTCTGGCCACCAAGTGACAAAGGGCGAATCCTTTCCTTCATGCTTCTGTTCTTTTTGGAGGCAGCTGTCCCCGGGAGGGCAGCAGGCGAGCAGGATGGAGACTGGCCAGTCCAGCGCTCCCTTGGAAACCTGCTGAGGAGAGATCGCCTTTCTTCTGAGCTGACCACCGTGAACCCCGTGTCCACATTCGTCTCTGCCTCCAGCTTCTCAGAGCTGTTTTCCCAGCTGCCGACTTTCATGCTGGGGCCCGTAGGCGGAGGGAGCTGGGTGCTGGTGTTCGGGCCGCCGGGCTGATGTGAGCAGTCAGAACTTTTCCATGAACTATCCCAGGTATTGTCCAGCCCTGGGCTCCTGCCTGGCTCAGGGAGCTCCAGAGAACCCACCTTGAACCTTCTGGACCGGCTCCTTCGAGTTCTTGGCTCAAGGGTCCTTGCTTGGGAGCCGAGGGTCAGCCTAGAGTCTCGGGGAAGTGTGTGAGCTCCTGAGGTGCTGTGTCGGTAAGAAAGCTCGCCGTTCCTGCCACCAAGCCCTGTGTTCAACTGCACCTAGGAGAGAAGCCAAAAATGGAACAAAGAGAATAGACGTTTTCCGTAAACTATGTCCCAAGATCACGGCAGAGCCTGGCAAGCTACCCGAGGCATATTCGATATGCCAAAAACAGTAACAATAACGGGTCTCATTCCCCTGACCCTGAAAGAGCCTCCAATTCGGCAGCATTGGGAAAGATGAGTAAGGAGAGGCTGCTAAAATCTCAGGGCTGGGATGAATGGAGATGTTACTGGCACCCACTCGAGTAAATCGATGAACAACTGGATGACAGTGATACAGTGATGTCCCAAGATTAGATCAGATCGTGTCCGAACTTCCCACCTCTGGTGTGTTTCAGACTTTTTGTAGCTTCAGCTGAGTCCAATAGACTAAGGACAATAAAATGTATTAGATGTCCTTAATTGCTATCTAATGAGCATAGGAGAGTCAGCATCAGCTCCAAGGAGCTCTCTTGGACTCCCCTAAATTAACTTTTCCACAAGGGTAAAGACTCTGGGAGTCAAATTGTCACTTGACAATTGTACATTTCTCATAGAGATGTTGCAACGTTCTCTATACATGGTAGTAGGTGGGCTCACTTGACAGAAATGTGTGTTTTCAACTATGCATGCTGGTTGCCACCAAAAGCATGGTAGAAATAAGAATTTAATATTTCAACCGTGGGTGACCTTTTCCTGTCATACCAACCATATGATCTATCTTGGTCTATTAGATGATTTGTGAGCACTTCAAGCAGATGAATCATTTGACACCTTTGGCACCAATCTCATTAAGCTTAGTAGCCCCATTCATTGAGGACAGAGATTCAGCATTGTGTGGTGAAGGGGAAAGAATGCTTATTTTATTTTATTTTTGGGTCACACTGGCAGTGCTCAGGGGTTACTCCTGGCTTTACACTCAGGAATTGTCCCTGGCAGTGCTCAGGGGCCCTTATGAGATGTCAGAGATAGAACCTGGGTTGGCCACATGCAAGGCAAATACCCTATTCACTGTACTATCACTCCAGCCAAGAATGCTTATTTTAAAAGGTATGCATTGCCCCTGGAAATCCCTCGCAATTCCATTCTGGCTCCAAATTTACAAACACCACAGTCTCCAAGGTGGAGTTTACTGGCCCGCCTTCCATCCTTGGAACATCACCCCCTCCTACTTTTTTTAAATATATTTTTTTAATGAATCACCATGAGATACAGTTATAGACTTACAAACTTTCATGATTACATTTCAGTCATACAATGGTCGAGTACCCATCCCTCCACCAGTGCCCATTCTCCACCACCAATGTTCCCAGTATCCCTCTTTCCACTCCCCATCTCGTCCCCCACTGCCTCTTGCAGCAGCATTCCCTTTTACTCTTTCTCTCCTTTTGGGTATTATGGTTTCCAATACAGGTAGTAAGTGACCATCGTGTTTGAAAGTAGACTATAAACCAAACATGATGGCTTCCTCCTTTTTTTTTTATCAAGACCATTTGTGAAAAATTTGTGTTTCCTGGTATGTCAGTGGGCTGGAGCGATAGCACAGAGGTAGGGCATTTGCCTTTTGTGCAGCCAGCCTGGCTGAGCTGAGTTAGATTCCTCCGCCCCTCTCGGAGAGCCCGGCAAGCTACCGAGAGTATCTCGCCCACACGGCAAAGCCTGGCAAGCTACCCGTGACGTATTCGATATGCCAAACATAGTAACAACAAGTCTCATGATGGAGACATTACTGGGCCCGCTCGAGCAAATCGATGAACAATGGGAGGACAGTGTTTGTTTTGACAGAGTTTGGTATGTCAGTAGCCCTTGGAAATTGGTATCCCTGACCGGCCCTGCCTGCCTGAGTCCTTACTCAAATATCAAGAAGAACGGTATATGGCAGCTATCGACAAAAGATGAAAACTCGTTCAAAGAGATATGTACATATTTATGTTCATTACAGCAATTTTTATGATCCTCACCATCCAGGAGCACACAAGTTGCCCAAAGACAGATGACGACCAAGCTGTGCTCTGTACACACGAGGAATTACTACTCAACCATGACACAAGAGGAAATCTTAACTTTTGCTACAACAGGGATAGAGTTGCAGAGGATCATATTAAGCCAAATAAGACAGAGGAGAAAGACAAATAGAGGATAATCTCACTCCTGTGTGGAATACAAAGAAACAAAGCAAGGGAACAAAAATTGTCCAATAAACACAAACCCTTTGACTGGAAAAAAACTGAGGTTAACCAAAGGGCAGGCGTTGATGTTGAAAGGTGGCAAAGGGGATGATGGGGTTGGAGTAATAGTACAGCAAGCAGGGCATTTGCCTTGCATGCAGCAGACCTGGAATCAGTTGCCAGCATCCCACATGGTCCCCTGAGCCTGCCAGGAGTGATTCCTGAGTGCACAGTCAGGTGTAAACCCTAGCACTGCTGGGAGTGGTCTTCCAGGCTCAAAAAAACAAACAAACAAACAAACAAACAAACAAACCAAAAACTAAAGATTCAGGGAAATTCAAAAGACTTTGAGGGAGCTTATAGGAATATCTATGGTGTGGTAACATTGTACCCTTGAAACACAAACATTTATAGTTTTACTTCAACAACAACAACAACAACGTGGCTTAAAAGTTAATTAGGGGCTGGAGCGATAGCACAGCAGGTAGGGCGTTTGCCTTGCACGCAGCCAACATGGCCGATACAGGTTCGATTCCCAGTATACCATATGGTCGCCCGAGCACCTCTAGGAGTGATTCCTGAGTGCATGAGCCAGGAGTAACCCCTGAGCATCACCGGGTGTGACCCAAAAAGCAAGAAAAAAAAAGTTAATTAAAGGAATTGTGTAGAATAAATTCAAGTGCATTTACTAAGTGAAAGAAGTCAACATGAAAATATAAGATATTATATATATCATATATGAGAATATGGAATATAAAATATTGTATTTCATATTGTATCCCAATAATATGAAAGTTTGGAAAAGGCAAAATTGTCAAGATAGTAACAGGGTTAGTGGTTGTCAAAGGTTTGAGGGGCATGGGCTTAACTATACAAACAGATGATTTTTAGAAAATGAAACGAAACTGTATAATACAATGGTAAGTATGTATTATTCATTTGCTGAAACAAATAGCGTGCCTTATTGCTAACCATGAACTTGGGGTGATAATGATGCATCAGTAGAGGTTCAATGACTGTAGTAAACGTCTGCTCCAATAGTGGGTGCCAACAGTGGAAAGTGTGTGAGAAAGTGTTGGTATACCGGGGGAATACAGATTCTCTGTAATATCTGCTTTATTTTGCTGTAAACCATAATCTTGGTCTTTTTTATTTTGGGTGGTTTTTTTTTCTCTTTGGATCACACCCAGCGATGCTCAGGGGTTACTCCTGGCTCTGCACTCAGAAATTACTCCTGGCAGTGCTGGGGGGAGTATATGGGATGCCGAGGATCGAACCCGGGTTGGCCGCGTGCAAGCCAAATGCCCTACCCATTGTACTATCGCTCCGGCCCTCTTTTTTTATTTTTAAAGATCTATTAAAAACATTCACAGCAGAGCCTGGCAAGCTACCCAGGCGTATTTGATATGCCAAAAACAGTAACAATATTGGATCTCATTCCCCTTATTTAAAGAGCCTCCAATACGGCAGCGTTGGGAAAAGAGGCTGCTAAAATCTCAGAGCTGGGACGAATGGAGACTTTACTGGTGCCCGCTCGAGTAAATCAATGAACAACGGGATGACAGTGATACAGCGATACAGTGATACAAACATCATCTATTTATCTCACAAAGCAAGAAGGCCAAAGCCATTGAGAAAGTAGCTCTAGAAACAGAAATGAATAAATCACCACACACATAGACAAAGCATGGGTTTGGTTGTCTGACACACACATCTTCCTCTTGAGATTACTCTGCTAGAAAAGGGGAGGTGACTATTACTAATTTGTAATTGCAAAAAGAAAAACCAAGAAAGGGATTTCCTTTCATTCCTTTGAAACAGAAATGACAAGCATTTTCTGTAAAGAGCCATGGAGTGAGTATCTGTGTCATTGCAGGCTGGGTGGTCTTGATTACAATGACTCAACAATGCCACAAAGCCCCCATAGACAATACATAGATAAACGCTTGTGACTGTTTCAATAAAATTCTGTGAACATTCAAATTGGAGCCACAAACACTTCATGAGTCATGAACACTTTTTCCAACCATTTCAAAAACTCTCTTAGCTCCCAGCTGCAGTTGGCTGATTTCTGCTCTAGATCAGTGATTCTCATTCATTTATTCATGCATTCATTCATTTATTCTCTCCCTTTCTACCTTTTCTGCTTCTCCTCTCTTCATCACCTCCTTTACTTCTTCCTTTACTGCTCTCCTTTCTCTGTCTTCCTTTTTGATTTGAGTGGTCTTTCTAATAAACATATTTTATAATTATAAAAGATTTGGATAAGAAATAATTTCACTGTGGAAGAGTATAAAATTAAATAACAAGGTTTTTCTTCCACCTTGACCTCAAACATCTTCCCACATTCTTGCTTTTCAAAGAAAACTCCTGGTTTAGCATTTCAGAAATCAGGTGGAAAATATTCCCTCCCAGTATTAACTGGGTCTGCCCTTCCCTGAAGTAAAGATTCTCCCCATCTTCAAAGGGCTAAACTGCCATCTTTGCTTTAATGGAAGACTAATGATTGACTTTTAATATAAAAATTGAACTTTAATATGAAAAACAAATCATACAGTTTGTTTTTCTCCCAGAAAATAAAAATTTACTTGGTTACTTCCATATTCAAAAAAATCACTCAGGTGAGTCCTGAGAGATAGTACAGTGAGTAGGGACCTTGCTTTACATGTTGCTAACACGGATTTGTTCCCTAGTACCCCAGATGTTCTCTTGGGCACCACCAGGAGTGATCCCTGAACACAGAGCTAGGAGTAAGCCCTGAGTAAATGTAGGTGTGTCCCCCCAAAAAATAATGTTTTCTAATGTCACTGTTTGCATATAGTACTTGTCTGTTCTGGAATATAGTGCTCA